TGTCCACATGAGGTCACTGCCCCAAAGAGAGACCCCTCCCAAACTGCCCATCGGGGGGTCCCACTTACAATGGTGGGAAGACACACAGGATATTGCCCTAAGGGGCAGTGTATACTGTATTACCTGGCCACCAGGGGCTACTGCTGCAAAGGGCATGGTGGGCAATGATCTACAGGGCATTGCCCAAAGCAGCCACAAAGAGGATCCTTAAGGGTCCGGGGTAGGGAATGCCCTGCTGGGGTCCTTATGCAGTCACTGGCACAAGGAAAGGGTGTAGGCATGGTCAGGGCTACTGCCACACCTAGCCGTGGAGGGCAAGTGGATAGTGGACACTGCTTCAGGGCACTGAGCATGTAAGGGCTCTACCCTAAGTGGCCACAAGAGAGTGACAATAATAGAGTATGGAGGGGAGAATCCATGCAGAGTTCTGCCTCTCCTGGGCTCCAGGGGTCACTGCTGCTGTAGTCGTGATCTAGTGGTAGAAATAGGGAACAGTCCCCATGGCTTCCTTAGGTGGGATAAGGGAGAAATCACTGGAACAATTGGTGGAAATGTGCACAAGGTAGTGCCCTAGCGAGCCAGCAGGGATTTCTGCTTCCTATGAGTAGGTGAGGGAATAACTGAAGGACACGGCCTCACTTAAGTCACCAATTCGGCTCGTGTGCCTGTGTTTGTGCACGTGAAGTGCTGCCAGGAGGGGTAATGACGTGTGTGTGTCCATCAGCCTCCCCATTTCCACAGTGACCCGGGGTGGCTATCTGACATTTTGAGAAAAGAGTCTGTGGATGTTCATCACAGCATTATTTTACTTAACGTAGAGCACTCCTCAGAAACTTACAACCTCCACAATGACAGCCACCTGCCTGAGCTGCCACAATGACTGACGACAGCAAACCCCCCAGAACATACAGAACCGAAAGGAAGGAGCTTTAATGTGAAGCAATGAGATGCCACCTAAATAACCTAGTGAGAGGATTTGAGTAAGCAGATGAAGTGCAACTAACTGCACTGGGGAAAATCACAATCCCCCAGGGAGAAAAACTGGATTCTCCTGGGAAATCAAACCATCTCCAGCCAGCCTGGGATTCCCAGAGTTTGGGATTGGTGCAAGAATTCACCATTAAAAGTATTTGTGCAAAATTGTGCCAGTCTAGATGCAGCCGAGGGGAAGAAAGAAGCATTTCAGCATACACAGGTGAAAAACAGCACAGAGCCTCCTTCCTCCACCAAACTCCATGACTACATCTACAGTGGTGCGTTCTCATGCAAAAATTCTTGTGGAAGAGTACTTCTGCAAAAACTCTTCCAGAAGAGAGCGTTTAAACTGGTATGTGCTTTTGCGCAAGAGCATCCATGCCAGTGTAGACGCTCTCTTGCACAAGAGAGCTCCGATGGCCATTTTAACCATAGGGCTTTCTTGCGCAAGAAATTCATGTTGCCTGTCTATACTGGCCTCTTGCGCAAGAACAGTTGCGCAAAAGGGTTTATTCCTGAGAGTGTCAGCGTTCTGGCGCAAGAATCCCTGATTTCATACATTAGAACGTCAGTTTACTTGAACAAGAACACGGGGCTGTGTAGACACAGCCTAGCTAGTCTCCTTGCTCTCAGCAAGACAGAATTTTACCTAAGGCAAATGTTTGGAAAATGCTTTACAAAAGCTGATTGAGCTGTAGAAATCAGGGGCAAAAACATCCCAAGTTCTTTTCCTTCCTGACCCACTCTGCAAATTGAAGTAATTTCTGAGGAGGAAACTGAGGCACAGATATCAGCCAGGGAAGCAGAGTTGATGCGGGTGGTGGCTAAAGTGCCCCATTGTAACCTACTGTTCCCCCAGTCCTGAGATGAGTCACCTATCCCCTTCACTGTGACACTGGCTGCTACCAATGGCAGCACAGCTCAGGGATGCTCACCCTCTGATGGGTCTCATGGCAGCTTGTACTTCCCACCACTCCTTGGCAGCTAGAAATTCCATGCTCCTCACTTCATGATAGGACCCTAACCCTAAGCAGTGAAGACTGATACCCTACATTTCTCACCATGCCCCTTTTTCTCTTGGATCTAGCCACTTGCTTAGTGCCCTTAGTTCTTTGCCCCATTCTGATATCTCTGTACCAAGATCCTGGGATATTGCCCCTGCAGGAGGGGGATACATAGTTTCTAGTGAAGGGAAAGGGGAGTAACCTGCCCC